GTTACAAAGGCTATGAAGCTTGTGAGGTTCCGGGTTCATGCAAGTACCGCTCTAATTATGCGATGTGATAAACTCGGTCTATGACACTGAATGGTCATACTTCTGTGAAAGGCAATGTAAATAGTAATAAAAGCAAATCTCGTTGGTTTATTACCGTCTCATCTTATTGTATACCAATATAGTATTCTGTGCCGGTTCAGTTAATCAATTAAGAATCGCGCATCGAGGTGCATTGGATACAGTTGCACTGACTCAGGTCGTAAGACAGTAGTCAGACTAAATGGTTGTCACGAATGTGACAACGAGTGCGAATGACGTCGCGGGTCACCAACCACCGATGTGGCCGACCTCCAGGGAAGAGAACAAGCACTGACTAGACTCAGCGTTTCGGTGATTTCTGCATGCTTTTTTATCATGCCATAGATTTTTAGCTCGAGACTTCATCCGGCTAAGTGCAGTATTCTGAAACAAAAATGAGCCGAAATAGTCGGTTCCCAAGTATGCGGAGCACATGATCGAGCCATCACAGACGATTCGACGCTAAGGGGTACGCCAACGAAACGTAGGGGGGGATCTGTTGCTCCGATCCCGGATAATCCGCCAAGTAAAATTTCTTGACTTTGTTACCCGCTCAAATGATCATAAAATACGCGTGATCGTTACTGATATGTGTAACGCATTTGGTCGGATAACACATGTAAAACTGTTATCGAAAGTAAGTTCATCAAGGAGAGCATTGTATCAGGCTCAGGGACTAAGACACAAAACAATGCTTCCACAAACTGACAAGTCACAAATAACTTGACCAAAGGGAATGTTTTTGCCCCTCTTTTATCTCTTAGGTTCAACGGTGGCGCGATCAAGCTCTACAAACTAAGGGTACTTATTAGTGACATTAAAGCTGGTCACAAATTCGATTCCGGTAACCTCAGTAATAACCCTAGGATACATGCGAGTGAAGTCATATGAGCAGAATTTTGGTTTAACAAATCGGAAATCCCATTTGCACCTAGGGAACGCAACTACATATTATCATCGATGCAATGTCGCATCGAATTCAATGACGTTAGACAGCAGGTAGCAGCCCAGTTGCTTCACAACGCCTGCAGTGCTCGGACTAATTTAAGTTCACTGGGTATGTGCAGCGCAGGGTTATAAGGACCCGTAGAGTATAACGTAATCATCCTCAAGGAGTCAATAATCCACCTGTATATCACCGGTATTCGCCCTATCAAAATAGTGCTCGTTAACTTGAGAAATATTGACGGGAACGAAAACGCGCAACGGCCCTTCACAGAGCATTTAGACGGGCAATGTAGCAATCTTACATGCTATGACCGTTGATGGGAGACGAAAATCGAACTCAAGTGACCAGTTGGATTTACGTTGCATATGATCAGTAGACACACACTCAATGCAAAGTGTGAAGTAACGATTTAACTTTCCATGATACCATTATACATCTCTCTGGCGTTAAGAACAAGCGTTTAAATAAGGATATTTAATAACGCAGATAACAAAGAACGGACAAGCGGCAAAACAGTGAACATACACAAGCTGAGTGTGGGGATAGCTAGGTTATTTGAAAAAGCCTAGTGCAGTGTAGTGAATGATACAAAATTCCCGGAAACGAAGCAGCACACCAAAGCATGCAGTCGTAGCATAGAGTTCATCATCATCATTATAGACGTTAGCCAGAGGGGGGAAACACCTCAGCTACTGTGTAGTGTAGAGTTACTGAATACAATAAGTGAATCTGTAGTTTAGTACACAGAGCCCTCTGTTTAATATGCGTCCCACCTCCGCTTTATCGTTCGCACTCGGCTCAACGAAGCATAGCAGGCATGCAGTAATACACGTTTGAGAACTAAGATGATGTCTTCACTCAGCTTGGTCCCTATTACTTAAGTCTCCCCTGGGATCAAAGATTCGCTGTGTGCCTAGTAGAATATAAGCACATCGGTGCACTGGGCAGCTAAGCCCCTTTCCGGATTTTGTCGTTCAAGAGTGCTCCATTCCCCGCCGACCCGTGCCCTTAAGGATCACAAGCCTGACTTGTAATCCGAAGGCGTGGATGCGAGCGCACGTAGGGGACCGGGTGAACCTCGCAGTATGCTTAGCCCAACGACGAGTGGTTGTGGTTGCGCGGCAACGCAGCATCGGTACTGTGTACCGGCGTAGTGCTGATGCTTTCTCCTTTTTCGTTTGAATCCCGCTCAGTTTTATACTTGGATCGAGAAGGTCCAATGTCTGAGCGATAAAACACGTGCAAATTGCCGAGTTCAGAGCCGCGATCTTTCCTTCGTATAATTCTTGCTTATTCTCCTCTCTTTACTCGCAGCTCACGTAGTCGGGCAAGGTTAAATACATCTTTTATCATTCGTGTTCACATGGAAGCTGAAGTAATAAGTATCACAACTGGACTCTAACCGCAAGTACGTATTTCAACTCGTAGCGAATAAGCAAGAAGACGCTTCAGTCTGGCGCACAGTGTACTGAACACTTAACGGTTTACATGTGAGCACGGAACGTTAGGGTGTGTCCTTGAGTGCGTGTGTGCGTGCTTATCTACGTGTGTGTGTAGGGCCAATCAGGTTCACGGTCATAGTGAGCGATCATTGGTTGAACACGTAACAGTCCTCCCTGTTTTGGCTGACGTTACAGTTATGGCTGAAAACGTTCGATCGGTTTGCGAATCCGGGTCGATCGGCGTAATTGAGTTTCCCCTGTTGTTCTGTGTTCGTCGTGCTCTGCAGCTTGCTCTGCGATCTCCGAGTGTGACTGACTCACGGCAGGTGTGTCAGTGCTCCTGGGGCGTACATGATCTGAGTGCCGGCGAACAACCCGGCCGTCCGGAAGCTGCAAATCGTTTTGACTTCCTGAAGAATCGAGCACAGTCGCCGGCTGCCAACATTGTTCATGCGGTAACCTGGTGTAAACAGGTTGATGGTCCTGAAATGTAAGTTCCGGCTTTGATTCCTCTGAAGACACAAACTTTTTCTGACGCTCCTGTACTTCAACACGCGGGTTCGGGAACAACAAATGAAGCCTCGTTCTCAGATTTCTGCCGAACGTCAATTCCGCCGGGGATTTCCTGGTAGCCTCAGTGGGTGTAGAACGGTAGGAGGAGGAGCAAGCTAATGCTCCAACTTCAGTTCGTCTTCATCCACCTCATGATGCCGGTAAAAACAACAAGGTAAAAGCGAAACGTGGACCAATTTTCATTCGTGTCTTTGTATGGCTTACATCACCAACACAGTAACCTTAACAGTTTCCTCAGTTAATTGCCCTAATTAGGATACACAGCTGTAAATTAACAATAGCATGTCTCTCTTGCTACTTAAAGGTTGTCAGCATAAAATGAGGATATAAGACAGGTTCAGCTATCTATCATGAAGTCAAACGATCCATACGATTTCGCAGGCTCTCATGAAACAGATTCCCACATTATCGAATATCCCATCCAGCTTACAATGGACGTGGACGCCGAGCACCATGTCGGAAAACAACACCAAATGCAGCTTTAGCCGACTGTGATGTGAGATCCAACACCGCAAGAGTTACTCCATCGACGTTAATATCTACACAGATTAGGTAAAAACGCACAAGTCCGTCGGCGTAGTCCTTTGTCAAATTAACATACCGCCCGTTCACTCAGTTACAACGCCCCAATAAAGCATTTCAAGTGGATTTTTGAAAGAAACCAGAACTGGCAATATATTAGCCCAACTATACAACGGTAGCTTGTATTTTGAAAGAACAGAATATATGACAAAGTCTGCGGCGCTCTGATTCGCGTTAACCAGAAGATGTACGGAGACTGGTTTTGACACGGAATTTGTTTCCGACATACTCTAGCTTTGCCAGGCAGTCTTTATTACCACGTCAGTCAGAACAGTGAAAAGGAAAGAAAGTGGGTAGACACCCTCGTCAGCTTCCGTTAGTTGTGAGGAACCCAGTTAGCAGCCTCCTGTGTAACCCTAGACAACAAAGTAAAGCAATTTCGCTGGCACACCCTCCAAAGATAAACAGTGTCCCAAGCCGGTTGAATCTACTGATTCGAAAGTGACTATCAACCCAGAAAAACCACACTCTGTGAATGTGTCACCGTCTCCTAACTTAACAAAGTGAATGAGTGGAAAAGGTAACCCCCACCGGGCGGAAACCAGCCTGCACTTCACCCGAACCTCACACAATCCAAACTAATGAAGACCAGTAAGCCGCCGCAGCCTGATGATGTGAGTAGCTTGGAAACATCGGCAACAAGGCTAAGGCTTTGATGATTTTCATATAAATTCGTGTGGTCAATAACGCTGCTGAAAATGATGATTAACAGAGTAGCTGTCAGCCGTTCCCAGTTTTAGTTCCACTGTTTGAGCGTCTTTTGGACCCGTACCCCGGATGTGTTGGAACAGCACAAAATGCTGCCTAATAAAACTGGCCTCCATCCCACTAGACATCGCAAAAAACCGGCGTCCTTATCCAATTTTAAAACAAAAGTACGGAGTGAAGCGAGTCAACGCAAATCCGTCAAAGTAACGGGTGCTTCATAAACCCGTTCACAATTAGGACACCCGAAAATAAGCGTGAAATAGGTTCGAGGCCTCACTTCACATTGCATCATAGGCTTCAGCTGCTTACGCATAGAAGTTAGTGAGCCAACCCCAATAAGCCATCACCCGGATAGCAGAGTGAATAATGCGCATAAACATAATTTAATAGGAGCGATGGATCGTGATAGTGCCTGTTCGTCTGCGATTCACCGGATCCTCTGCTCCAACTCGAGCGCACGGAATGTATTACCGAATAGCAAACTTAACGCGGAAGATCGAATCTCAGACGCCACACCAAGTTAGAACAACAAAGCCAACCGCAACAGAGATCACGGAGCGTACTTAGTGACGGACAAAGTCCCGAACGAACAATCGATGTGGCTAGAACGAATATGCGAGGAATCATTGGCTTAGTTTGTTTAAAAAAATATAAAATGTGCAACTGACCTAGAAGATGAGTCCAAATATTACCAGTCTCCGTATGGACACGGAACATGGACTTAAAGCAAGCCCAGCAGGTGTTCAGTTGAGGACGGTGATACCGTAGAATGTAGTCGTTGTCTTTCAACCACGCTGGCAAACTTCTATGATGCACCACTTGCCAACCACGTAACCACACATGACGCACGAACTCCTCAGCGCTGTGAGCCATCATTTGTACTAGCTAGAGTGAGAAGTAAATGGAAAGAAGGAGTGGAATCACAAAACCATTCGTACGTTTTGCCATTCTGGGTTATATTGCGAAAAGTGAAGTAAGAATGAAAGGAAACTGTTCAGGAACTTTTTGCATAGACAAGCAAGTTTGATACGGATACCGCGAAACTTTACTGAAGGTGGGACAAATGGATGGCAAGTTGAAGTTAAACAGAATGGCACAACCCCAAAAAATGATTCCAACACAAATTTGTCACCTTTTGGACGAAGTTAAGTGAGAACGGTGAAATGAATGATGCGAAGGAATGTGAAAAAGTACCTCAAAGGAGCAGTGTTTACGGTTGTGTCTAAGTGGGACAGGGAAATGAAAGTTAGTTGAAATAGATCGCCATTACGATCCCATCCAAATGGGCTCTGTTGAGGTTCGGAGTAACCGAAAAATGAAAACGGAGGAATGTGCGAAAATTGGCCGAACCAATTTTACATCTCACACGTCACATGTCCTTTGAGAGTCGAATCGAAAATCATCCACGTGTATGACTTTGTGAGTGATCACGTGTTAAACAGCACGCTGAAGTAATCAGTCAATAAGTAAGTGGATGGTTACTGGCAGGCAGAACACGGAACTCAACGATAGTTTGTATGAGCAGATTTAGCCGAGATATTGAAGCCCAAGACAAAAACGAGTCCAGGTTAGAGTTGAGATGAGAAAGAAAGATTGAATGAATCAGCAGCCGTACACCGAAATGGCGCTCCGCTGCCGCGCAACTACCACCAGTCGCGCGTGGGCTAAGTACACCGCGAGGACGCCCGCCCCATGCGCGGATTCGAATCGGTGGCCTTATGTTTTGCAAAGTAGGCGTGCGGACCATACTCGGTCACCGGCCGACTGGTGAGATAGAGGGCAAACTAAAGCATATGACCGAATTGAAATGTGCAAGCATGATCCAAAGAATGTACGAAGTTTAAGCAAGAATAAGTAAGAATAAGTTTTATCGAACAGTCTTGATACGATCGAAGGCGAAAAGGAGTGTGCTCAAACCAGAGACACGACTGTCAGTCAGTTCGTGTTTACGGCAAACGAACACAAAGTGAGTGGTCTTCTTCTAAGAGCTGGGAATAACGACCAGATAAAGTTGCTTAAACGCCGCTAGAAACAACTTTTTACTAGAAAACTCGTAGGGCTACGAGAAGGGAGTTCCTTCGGCTGACAAGCCCGGTAAATGGACAAATGACTAGTGGCACATTTGAAGAGTACAGACACAGTTCAACTGGTTGATCTGATCCGATTATACAAAAAAGGCGTAAAACAGATAAGCGATTGAGTTGTTTAAGGCGACTTCCAAACACATTTACCGAGTGAATAATTAACTGCGTATTTGAAAGAAAGAAGTTGAGAATTATAATAAATACACATAAAGCCAAATGTCCATCCGTAGAACTGGAACAGTTCGTCAAACTCCTATCTGTCCACGTGCCGGTGTGGCTTAAAAACAAGTACGCCACCATCGCAGTGGTTCGTGCTTCGGGTCGTTTTATATGGATACAGGATGAGCACTACAGTCATCTAGGCAAATGGCAAACAACAACACAAAATAAGAGTAGACTTTACAGTGTGTGACAGGTTAGGACGAGTCGTCAGGGCCCTTCACTAAGCGTCAGATACCGTACAGTAGCCTAGCCGAACAGGACTTATCTCCAATTACTCGGTTGGCCAGATTAGTGAGGCAAATATAGGATCACAAAAGCAAACTTGAAGTTATACCGGCACCTTATTCATTAGATAGTTAAATAATATATAGAAATAGAAGCAACAAATGTTCAACCAGAGAAAAGTAAATGGACTCAGACAGCTGTCGCACATGTACCGAAATGCAGTAGAACCAATCGCGATGATTCATATCGTCATAACGATGCTAGTTAGTAATGATGGGAACACAGGGAAAAAAGAAAAAGTGGGTCAAGAAAAAAGAGCTGGTATAGTAGTCGAGTTACAAGGCAAACAGCCAGATAAAAGAAACGGAATGGAGCAGTGTGATTGACTTCGAGATAGTATCACATCATACGAGTTCGCTAACCAGTGACGAGGCCCATCGCAAACTCTCATTCAGGAGGACGAAAAGATCAGCTTACTCAAGTTTGTTAATTAAGTTCCCCATGCTTTTTCGGAAGGTTAGAGAAAGACCACCGCACGACGTTATCCAGCAGGGTGGAATAAAAACAGACTACGTCAATGAGGACGCTGAGCGGGTATGCGAAAGACGCAGTCGAACCCACGTAAGTGGTTAGAGTTAACAGACGTTCCGGTAGGGCACCAGAAGGCCCATTTCCAAACGCCAATAGGCAAAATCCAATATTGCTCATTCGGTAAGTTCAATAGGTCAGTAAGTAGAAGGAGTCCCTAAATGTCGACAAAGAGAAGTGACCATGTTCCTGAATCATACAGTAACACCAGCCGCATCGCGACAATACATACTGTAACTGTCGAAGCTGTCATCCTGGAATCAAAACAAAGACTGAGCGGCGATTCAAATCGGTCATTAAAGAACAAACCGTCATTTTATGCTGTGCATAAATTCGAAGTACTATTTTGCAGATGTACACTTGCAATGGTTGATTTTAGTTAGCGATCTGCCTAAGTTCATTGAATCACGTTCATCGCTCGTTCCTAACTGTTTGGACTACTCCTATATTGACTGGAACAAAGTTGCGCTTTGTCTAAAATAACCCAACCCTATTCTGAGCTATTCAGCCGGTCCTTGTGAATATGATTAGATTGTGTTGGTGGTGGTGCGGATCGGTTTTCTGCCTGCCTGCTCCGTCTGTTCCCCTTGCTCGTTCGGTCCGCTATCAGCGTGCCATGCGCCGTGCGCTCCCGGCCAGTGCCATGTGCGGACAACTCGTCTGCCTTAGTCCGGGACCAGAGGCGTGCCTGACACAAAACACCCGGCCTGTGAAAGCGTAGTCAATTTGTGCTCACGGCGCGGATTGGCTTTCCAGTATACTGACTGCGCGTCAGTTTGGCTCGCGTGAGTTGTCAGCTACCGTCACAATGCCTTTGCTAGTAGAATTCTGTTCTGGTGCTCCTAATGAGGAGTATACTGGGTGATGCCTCCGAGCATCTTGAGAGCTACTCCTACCAGGTTGGTCAATGGTGAGAGGTCAGACAAACTCAGTCTCCTGGTCCTCCAGGTTGGGGGTTTGAAATGGGATGGCGTCCATTTCTGTAAAACTAAATCACTGCCACCCCGCTGCCTTGCGGACAGGCTTTTGAGCCAAAGGCTTTGCATGAGGACCCTAATCGTTCTCCTGTCTAGGTCTGGGCGCCCTAGCAGTATCCCAGCCCACATACAACCATGACATTTTCTTCAAACATAAACTTCATCCTGCATCGGCCGTCGCGCAGATTATCAAGGGTCGCCTTATCTGCTGCATACAGCAGGGCGGATAAGCGAAAGCATGCTACTGCTGGCGCCTCCCTTCTTTCTTTTCCACCTTTTTCTCTTACTCCCATCCCGGCCCCCATTACTAACCTTCCTTCTATAATTCCCAGCTTAATTGACAGCAACCGAAGTGCTACTGGAGTAGAACCATCTGCAGCCACCATCCCACAGCACCTATCGGACGCCTATCGGCAAAAGTCCCTTATAAGACCACGCTGTCCCGTTTCCATGGCGACCTTCAACGTCCGCACTCTAAGACAAACAGGTCAGCAGGCTGCACTCGCACGCACCTTGGACACACTGGGTGTTGATGTGTGTTGTGTGTCCGAAACTAGGATTAATGACCCTAACGGGGTTATTGAATTGACTGCACCCGGCTTATCCTCTCGTTATTGGTTGCACGCATCCGGAGACGCCGATGCGGCACTCACCGGTCAAGCTGGTGTAGGTATCATTCTCAACTCCAAGGCTGAGTTATCGTTGGTTGATTGGATTCCGGTGAACAGTCGTTTATGTGCAGCCCGTTTGACGACATCAGCTAAGGTGAATTCGCGAAGTAAAACAAAACGCTGTTTGTTTGTGGTTTCTGCTTATGCTCCCACGGACTGCAGTTCTAATGCAGTCAAGGACACTTTCTATCACGAACTGAACACCCTGCTACGCAGTGCTACTAGTTCAGATATTATAGTACTTGCAGGGGATATGAACGCACAAGTAGGGCGTCTGAGCTCTTCAGAAGCTCAGCTGGGTGGTAAGTATGGACTTAACTCCGAACGGACTGACAACGGCGAGCGTCTGCTGTAACTGTGTGCGGAGCACCAGTTGTTTCTTACTAGCACTGCTTTTAGACACAGTGGGCGCCGAAGTGCCACTTGGCGTCCACCTGTAGCTGGTCAGCGATGGACACAAATTGACCACATAGCCATAAGTTACAGGTGGCGCGGTTCCATTCTGGATTGCCGCTCGTACTGGAGTACCTGTGTCGACTCTGACCATGCCTTGGTGCGCTGTCGTTTCTCCATGAACTTTACCGGAAGGCGCACAAAGCGTCTCCCCCGATTGGCAACGGAGAAATTGTCTCAGCCCTCTGTCAGGCAAGCCTATCAAGAAGCACTGCATAGCGAACTCTCGCTGTCTTGTCCTAATGACACTGAACTTCAGTGGAATAAGATCTCGGCCACTATGCACGACGCAGGAGCATCTGCTTGTGGCACTATCAATCGTCACCGCATCAGTCACTGGATATCCGAGAGGTCCGTGAACCTGTTGGAAGCTAGAAGGCACCTCCCGGCTGGTTCTGAACACAATGTGACCAGACGGGCTATTAGGCGTGAACTAAAGCAGAGCCTACGTGCTGACAAGAAGCCTGGTGGACCAGTCGGGCTCAAGAAATGGAGGAGGCAGGAGCAGTAGGCAATTACCGCAAGCTCTTCCAGCTAATACGCACCACTGGTCCCAGAAAACCAAGGGTCAGTGAGACAATCAGGGACAGCGCGGGTGCGCTGATACACAATAAGGAGCGCCGTATGGCTCGTTGGGCTGAGCACTTTGAACATCAGTTCAGCTGGCCCCCTGCTCCCGGACCTCTTCCTACTCAGGTGATGCAGGGCGAGTCATGGACGGTTAGTTTAGAGCCTCCGTCGGAGGCCGAAGTCCGAAACGCGATCACAGCCCTTAATCGTTTTCGTGCCGCTGGCCCGGATTCCCTCCCATCTGCACTATTAAAGGATGGTGGTGAGGTCCTCTACAAAGCACTGACCTCCCTATTCGAACCCATCTGGATCGATGTGCCGGCTAATTGGAGCGAATCGATTATAGTGGCAATATACAAGAAGGGCAGTCGCACAGACTGTGCGAACCACAGGGGTATTAGCCTAACGCCAGTTGTGACAAAATTACTGGCCTCGATTATCGTTCGTCGCCTCACTGCAGAACGGTAATCTCGGATTAGGAAGAGCAGGCCGGTTTCCGCCCAGGACGTGGCTGTATAGACCATATATTTACTTTTGCGGCAGGTGCTAGAGCAGCGCCACGCATACCGCAGACCGACAATAGCTGTGTTCCTCGATTTCAAGAGTGCGTTCGATTCAGTCGATCGATCGATTCTGTTCGAAATACTTGCGCGAAAGGTGTTCCCACGAAATATGTGAACATCCTTCGTGCTCTATACTCGAACACTACAGGCCGCGTCAGGGTCTATGGTGCCCTATCGGATAGCTTTTCGACTACAAGTGGCGTTCGACAGGGTTGCCCGATTTCCCCGTTTTTGTTCAATTTCGTCGTGGATTCTATCATGGAGTGTTCCCTTGCGGAATCTCACGAGATAGGTGTTGAAGTGATGCCTGGTGAACGGTTAGTTGATCTAGATTATGCGGACGATATCGTCTTGCTTTTCGACAATGTTGAGGCGGCACAATCAACCCTGAATAGCCTATCCAGAGTGGTCCCATTATTTGGTATGCACTTCGCACCTTCAAAGTGCAGTGTTGCTGCAGGACCACCAGCCACTCGATGACCCCTTGACGCTTGCTAACGAGGAACTCGAGGTGGTTGATCAATTCACTTATCTTGGCAGCTGCATCAGCAATGATGGGCGCATAGAAACTGACGTGAGCTCACGCATTGCAAAGGCCAGAGCTGCCTTCTTGAACCTGCGTCATCTTTGGCGACAGAAGGGAGTTTCCCTCCGTCTGAAAGGCCGTGTATACAAGGCCACAGTGAGGGCCGTTCTGCTCTATGGTAGTGAAACTTGGCCCCTTCGGTCTGACGATCTGAGGCGCCTTCAAGTCTTTGATCATCGTTGTTTGCGAAGCATTGCTGGTGTCGGATGGCACCAGCGTGTCCGCAACGATGATGTGCGTAGGCGAGTACTAGGGGGTGATGATCATGCTAGCTCCCTAGAACAACAGATAGCACTGAATAAGTTACGTTGGCTCGGGCACGTGCTACGCATGCCTGGTCACCGCTTACCTAGGAGGGCCTTGTTCAGTCTACCAGGTGTCGGATGGCGCAAGGCTCGAGGTGGACAGAAGTTGACTTGGCAGCGGGAAATGAAGTCACTGACGACCAAACTGGGTGCCGTTGGTCCGTCTCGCCTTCCGGGTTGGAGTCCACGTGACTCACCTTGTGCTTGGCTCGAGACTTTACAGGACATGGCTCGCAACCGACACCAGTGGCGCGTCTGCTGCCGTCTCCTAATCGGATTGTCTGTTTAAAGTGTGTTTGGTGCTGAGTTATCTGCGGGGTAATGGCTGATTATGACGCGTGGCAGTGAAAGCCGCAAGGAAGCTGTCTCGCCGATGCCGCCTTATCTTTGCACGATAGCCAGCTGTTTGTGACGGTATGTTGTTAACACAAGGTGTAGGCGCCTTGACCCTGAATGTTTGCTTAGGGCATTAAGATTTTCAGGTAAGTCCCCCTTCTCTCCCTCTTATTCTTTATTTCCTAGGTCCTCATGGTTGTATGGCAGCGAAGCATCAGTTCAAATGGCTGATGTACTGCTGTTGATGATGATGATGAATGAGGAGTAAAAGTTTGAAGTCATACGGGTCTCGCAGTAACCCAAGCGATTTGGCCAAAAAAGACAATACTGAGACTTATATGAGTAAACTGTTCGACCACCTCTATTGGGTGCTCGGTGACAGGCAGAACCGGTGGCGTCCCGACTCGGCGTGGATATAACACGTCGTATACACCAGAGGAGTCCACCGCTCTGCATCGAAATCGCCTGTATAAAGTTTGGTCCCAGCGAAGATAGCTGTCCATCGAATACGCCAAGTTTATCAGTAGGTTACCAGGCGGAATATCCATGCCAGAGCAGGCTGTGAGGAATTGTGTACGAACACTTCATCCACAAAGCTGAAAAGAAAGTGGGATAGAGGCAGTAGCACGGGAGCCCATGTGTTGTCAGGATCTCAGCAGCCAACTTCCCAGAGGACCCTGACTAGGGTTTAGGATTACTTTCCCCACGGCACTTTTCAACGTAAACAGTCGGCACTTCTGGAGCTTCATTTAACCGGATGCAGTAATCATAAACAATACGAACCCACGGAAGTGACGACCAGGAACACTAGGCGCACAATCGAGACAATATAGGCGATTCAAGTGCAAACAGATGCTTTAACACTGGACCCATGGGTTCGACGTCATATACTAACTAACAGAGATCATCAATACTCGTCCGTTGATCCCAACAGATATAAACAATGCTGCGGAGGCAGCAATGGTCAGAGACAACCAGCCTCTTGTTATCTTCAAAGCGAGACCCATATCACTTGTATACACTACTATGCCTAAAAGGAAACCGAACTCTGAAAATAGTGCGCCAACCGGCAGAATGAGTGCGCTGCATCTAATGAGGTAACGCTCATTAACAATCAGAGTGGAAGGCGGTAAATAGCAGTTTGTTGTCTAAACAAGCCTCTAGGTGTTCTCAGTAGCCGCGGCAGGCTCCTACTGCCGGTCGGCGCTCTATTTCAAAACTTCGGGTCCTTTTTGAACATAGTAGTACGTCATGCAAATATGTGGCCCAAAAATTATCGATCCGAGTGTAAGCCATTCACGCTTCAATTAGTTCCACTTTGCAGAACACAAGCAGGCCGCATGAAAGAGAACTGGAGGCAATGGTAATAAAGCCAGTTTTTGGATGAATCTCGCGTTAAGTTTTGTGACCCTTTTGAAAATAATGTTACCTGTTGACAATTAGCCACCCGAACCTACCTTAATGCGCGCCACATAATGTCGAATGGAGCGGTTAGACAGATGACCAAGTAAATATCCACTGTCGGTAGTAAAGAAGATAAGGTTCCCTTACAGCTTGAGTTGGATCTCCTTGAATATAGGAGGGAAAAGACGAAACAACTAAATGTTCCTTCAAACATAAAGTCCAGGAGTCTAAGAAACGTTTATAATGATGCCTGGACTATCCATCGTTGTCATATAATGCCTCATTAACGGTAGTGTTGCGATCAAATAACGTTAACAGTGATGTTTTAAACCCGGTCCCAGGGGTAGAAATAGTTGAGATTCACATAAAAGTAAATGACGGTCTACACAGCGATTGCGTGCCGCAGTCAATTCACACGACTGCCACAAAATGACTTCCAATTATGCAACAATTCGGACGATCCAACAAAATCCGTCGTAAATAGGCACCCAGGTGGTACGTTAAACTGAAGGCGAGTAACGGGGACAATGAGTTTGCCTAATCTGCGAGTTAGGTGGACATAGCGAAACGTAACCTACTTAGCTGTATGGATTTCGACCGCTCGCAACACCGCACTCCATGATCGGGTTCCTGCTGATTTGCATAACTCAGATAGAAATAGCAGAACTGTGATTCGATCTGGGTACGCGGAGCTTGCTAACTGATGTGTTCCGACAAAGCAATAGCCCAAATAATCGATTTGAATCGGTGGCAATATCCAAACCATGGGAGCTCGATTTTAGCAGTGAGTACGCGCCGATGGCAGTTAAAAGACGGATTCGAGCAAGGAATAAGTGTGTTACCTGGGATAAATCGCTAGTTCGGAGGTATTCCGCACAACTGAACTTTTTGTCCTGATCCTCAAACTCGAAAACGGTGGTTGAAATATCCACCTTAGGAGGAACCGTCTCAAACTCCACAGATGGAGACTTTGCTCTCTCCACTGTGCTTGTGCGGCTCATTTCAGGGTCAGCTAAAATAGACAAGGAATTTGGTAGGTATAGCAAGAACCGATATTACACTTTAAGCGCTAGAACAGTATATTGCAGGAAACGTGTAAAGAAATGGAAACAGAAAGGGGCCAAAACGAATCCAATACCGATCATTTGAAGACGAAGACGGGTACATGACAACACAGAAGATCTTGCTGCAAGCTAACTTTAATCATAATATCATAGTAAAGATTAACCATTAGGCGGGCATAAACAGTGATGACGACTGAATGGACTGAAAGATCGTAAAACGAAATGGGACAATAAACTGCGAGAAACTTATCGCTATTGAGTCCATCTATAATTCCTGGGAAGGTTGAGACGTAACCTGATTAAAATTGCAGGCTGCCTCTGACTGTCAGAAAATGGCTGTCTCTGACTGTTCGAAAAAATAAGTCCGAAATATAGTTAATAGACAAGTTAGAAACCGAGAAAAACGGTCGATGGTGGTGGGCTGCTGTATTTCGTAGTGATATCACTGGGTTGTTAAAATCAATTGATGATTAAATCAGTCAGCATTTGAACCCAAAGTACTACAAGTTATCAATAGACCAGTAGTTTGGTTAGTAGGTGGACATCGGGTCCAAAAAACGTAGTATTGTAAATAAACCAAAACTAACCTTAAGGAAAGGTACGTTAGAGGAAAAACAACAAACGACAGCAACGACCTGAGCTGGAACATCAGCTTGTATCAGCGAACAGAATCAATGAAAAGAATTCAGATTGTAAATGCTAACAGTGAAGGACGAGGGTTATGACAGTAGATTATCGACGTGTTTCGTAACCGAAACAAACGTACAGGATAACAGCGTCTTGTCACATCGTAGCTTACCAAAGCCGGGTTTCAATGATAGGGCCTGCATATATAGCGCCTCCGCCGATGCCGAAAAAACTAGAGGTAGGCATGGTGCAGAAATGTCTTCCAAGAAACTTTCATTTCAAAAGGGATCCCAGTGAATAACTTCTTGTGTGCCAATCCGAGTCAATGAGCACCAACTGCAGGTAATGTATCTTAATCTTGAAATGGAAATATTTGAGTGTTGCTCTTCCCAACACTGGCACACCACGACCGCGGTTTCGTCCTGGTTTGGACTCGTCAGATGGAGATAGCCTGAGCTGAGGTGGGACTCAGAGCATAAAAGTTCACGGCTAACGCCCTGAACACTATGCTATTGAGATCCGAGAGCAAGGCTTGGCATAGCGGAAATTAATTCAAAGTTGAATTTAGAGAGCACGCTGTGTGGTTGGGTTGCGACTCGCAACCTCTATTGAGACCTCGGTTCACTTTGAGATAAACCTCGGTCATTCCGATCTCGAGGACCGTATCCTAAATGGAAATATTTGGGTGTTGCTCTCCTCAACGCTAGCATCCCACGACCGCGGTTTCGTCCTGGTTTGGACTCGTCAGGTGGAGGTAGTCTGAGATCGGAATGACCAAGGTTTACCTCAAAGTGAACTGAGGTCTCAATAGAGGTTGCGAGTCGCAATCCAACCACACAGCGTACTCTTTAAATTCAGCTTTGAATTATCTTAATGTCGTTTCAAAAACTGTATTCCAAAGGCAGCGTAAGATAAATACTATGTGCGGCTCTCCTCTTTTGCCGGAGGGGCCAGAAGCGTGGATATCGTGCTCGTTACATGCGACGTGGAATGTCTAATTCCGTCGCATATCACTCAGAACATCAGTTCAGAAACCATTTCGGAGTCGTTACCTGTCCGATTAACAACGGTGGTCGCATTTTCCGTCATGTGTGATTATTCTCGTTAACAGCAGCACAGCTTTCCACTGTAAACATTTGTATCGAATTACAGGTGGTCACGCAATGACAAACTGCATTAAACTCGAATTTCCACACTTCTATCAGATACAGATAAACGGAATTAGTGCAAATCAGTCCACTTGTATTGTGGTAGCGAGACTAAACCTTGACGTGCTGAGACGGTCTATGTGTCCAAAAGCTGTGTTAGATGGTACATTGAACGTTTTCAAAAGCACTCACACGAAATCGAATAGAAAGCATAAAACTCAGTCTCGTGCCCTTACCACATTGCTACCTAATTCATTATGACGGACACCCTGTGGCTCTGCTAGATCTACGCCCTCGCGCGGTCAGGTTTTAAAACCGAAGGACCTGCCTCAGGGTCCTAATCGCTCATCTATCTAGGGATAGGAAATATGACCGTACTCCATAAAGCAAGAGAATAAAGCGATAATCAATATATACATACATCTACTGAACAGATGGCTGAAAGCACAACTGGCAGAATGGCATAACATACGAGTAAAATCAAAGCCATGAAAAACGGGAGACAGGGGATAAAACTGCAGTTATGAGAGTAGAGCCTCACATCATGTGTGTGTCAGCTGTACGCCACAACGGCGCTTCGTTGCTGCGCGACCACCACCAGTCGCGCGTAAGCTGAGTACAACGCGAGGAAACCCGCCCCTACGCGGTTTCAAACCGGTGACCTTATGAATGCAAGCCAGGCGTGCAGACCACTCGGCCACAGGTCGAAACACGTGCGTCGTGGTGCACGGTTCCTCGCCATGTCAGATAGGGTTTCCAGCCATGTATTATGAGGATATCTATCGAAGGGTTTCAGATCACACAGACTTTATTCACTCCTGAGCTGCATAATTTCACTGCACAGGCTTCGGTAGCTTGGACACATTCTTCCCATACCTACTGAGTGTGTAACTTGCCGTGCACTCTGCGCGCACAAGTCGGCTAGAGGCGAAAACAAGGTGGCCAACAAATGGCGCGGCCCCAAAGTATGCAGGCGCTAACTTCAAAGTTATTTAGTGGTGATCGGGCACTCTTAACTCCCTGGCTTTAGCGCAAGAGCCACAAACGCACATGGCTGGAAACCCCACCTGACATGGCGAGGAACCGTACACAACGACGCACATGTTGTGAGACTCTACTCCTGTAACCTGTTTTGGTTTCTGCTATGACCCCTCGTGGTTACGCTATGTTATGACGAACTGGAATGAACTCCTCTAGACGGACGGACGAACGCGACTATGAACTATTTCCACGCGAGACAAGGAAACCGACAAAATTTGAAGTTCCTACAACCCATGAGACTTGGGCGCAACAGGGTTGATACGTGAAAGTTGAACGGGCTCCCAAACCGAACGCATCTTCACACGCGACTACCCGACCCCGGAAGAAACAGGACAAAAGACAAGCCTTTCGCGACAAGCACTTTCACTGACCAGTCACAAGGCAACTACAGCGTAGTGCAGCATCTCTTTTATAGCGCGATTGGTGAAGTATGTGATTTTTCACGTGGAATGGGTTGCGTAGGCTAACCATGGAAACAATTCATGAGCAAGTGAAACAGAGCTAGGTGAATATGCCAACGGAACATGTCGAAAAGTGGATGTTGGTAGACGCGGAGGTTGGACAGGAAAAATGAATGTTTTTTAGATACAAAGACTGACCAAAAAATGTCTCATGAGCGCGGAGTTGCCCGGAAACAAGAATGTCTCTTGTGTACACAAGATGCCCGGAAAATGAATGTCTCACGACTAGGAAAGCTGATCGAACATGTGCACTGGTCTAATGCGGGTCTCAGAGAATTACGTTGGATCTTCCTAAGTCTTTCTCTCTCTTCCGTGTCAAGAGACCCTACTTCTGTGATAAAAACCTTATACTTTTTGTTAGTTATTTCTCGTCCTTACATTTGTGTATCTATATGTTTGATACCCTGCGAATTTACTAATGTTGGCTAAGTGATTTTATATATATATATATATATATATATATATATATATATATATATATATATATATCAACATTCGGTTCCAAATTTGTCGGTCACAACGGCCTCAATGGGGACAGCCACAAGACGCCTGCGCATACAGAGGGGGCCATGGGTGGCTTACGCTGCACCATCCACACATCCCATATCCAATGTAAACCCGAAGGAATAAGACTGGGAGGAATGCGGGGGGGGGGGGGGAGAGCCACGTTTCAGCAATAGAGCCGGCCTGTAGCCTGAAAGTAACGAGGTTATCTTGTAATCTGACGGCACGGGTTCGAGCCTGCGTAGGGGCAGAGCGACCCACGCAGTACCCTTAGCCCAAGTGTGACTAGTGGTGGTTGCGCGGCAGCGATGCATCGGTATTGCATAACGGCATACTGCTAATGCCCCCAGCAACGACAAACTGTCTCTTGGAACCAGTGTAATACGAAGGAGAGGGTACCAGACAGGTAGGCACTTTGTAAACGTTCACATCCAAGCGCAGCCACACTGGGGATATCAACCATCAACCAACCGCTAAAATGCTAGAAACTCAACACGCAGGCACACGCACAGACCAGCTGCAATTACACACGTATCACATCAATCGTCTTATTGGCCTGGGTTAGTAAATCGAAAGGAAGCGGACGCAGCGCACTTGCGAAAACTGCGGTGCCGCTGATTATATAATCAGTTGACTCGTCGCACTTTGGATGGTTGCCCCACGTGGCCACGCTGGCGGCTCAGACACTCGTGACCGCATGTGTTACAGCAGTGGTCGCCAATCTTTTTGTCGCCTTTTCTTCCCGCTGTAGCGATTCGCACACTAGAGATAGCCTTCGAAGTATGATGGACACCAAAACCTTACAAATGACGGGAACCAAGCTGACATCCCTGTAGTTGAAGCACATTGTGCGCTGGCCATTTTTGAAGAGAGGGATGACTGGCGACTCACCCCAAGATAATGGAACCCCCTCCTTCAGCCAGACTTCTGAGAAGAAAGCAATGAGTTCTCGAACCAGCGAAGACGTAATCTTTAAAGAGGACGAGGTAAGCTATCACGGCCCGGTGCTTTATAGCGCTGCAAGAAGCGGTTCCTGCCAGATTTCATGGTGAGGAGGATCTGTGGAGACGGACCACTTAGCACCAGTGAGCGCTCAAGGGGGAAGCAGATGGAGCTGGTGGCCAGCAAAACTGCGAGCCAAAGTGTTCAGCTCATTGCTCCAACTGTCGTTGAAGATTAGTGGTTAGTGGGCCATCCTCTTCGCTGATCGTTTCGCTTACACCAGATCGGAAACTTTCGGTGGCTCGGATAACATGGAGAAGTTTTCTGGTATTGCCAAAAAGACTAGCGAGTTCCATCTCTGTAGCACGTTCACACAACAACGTTTCACGGTCCTTTTGTAGACTCCTGCGCAACTCTCGATCTACGGATCGTCGTTCTTCCCT